CTACTGCAGTACTACCGATACGTCACTATACTTCGACTAGTACAATGCTACCACTACAACACTACAATATTATAATACTACAGGGGCGCTGCGGTACTACGATATTGGAAAATTCCTAGTGCAGTACTGTAGCACTTTCACTGCAAGCAATGCTAAAGCACTACTACTCCTACGAATACTATTGTCGTTACATTGCTACCGCTAGAGCACTACAGTTCGAGGATACGGCTGCTGTGCCCGAGTATTGCAATAGTGGGCTGCCCTTGTCTGTTGCAGCTACAGGGCTACTACAGCGCTGCTGCTTCATTACTGCAACACTCCTGCGGCCGTTCTCCGAGTGCTGCAGTAGTAGGGCACGACTACTACCATTACAAAGCTACATTACTACTACTACTACTACTACTGCTACTACTACTACTACGACGACGACGGCGACGACGACGACGACTGCTACTACTACTACTACTACTACTACTGCTGCTACCACTGTTACTACTACTACTACTACTACTACTACTACTACTACTACTACTACTACTACTACTACTACCACCACCACCACTAGCACTAGCACTAGCACTAGCACTAGCACTACCACTACTACTACTACCACTACTACTACTACTACTACTACTACTACTACTACTACTACTACCACCACTACTACTACGGCAGTAAGTACTAAACACTGCTGCTACAACACATGCGTATTATCATCACAGACTACTGCACTACTGCGAGTACATGACTTTAGCACCAGAGTGCGACTACCTTTCTGTTGAAGGACTAGAGTGAGAAAGTATTTGGGTCCCACAACACCAGAGCTACAGGACTTCCAGTGCAGACGGTACTCGAGTACTACTACCACTGCTGCTGCTACTCCTGCCACAGCACTGCTACAGTGGTGGCAATACTGAAGTAGTACTGTTACGACGACGGCGACGACTACTACTAGTACTGCTACTACTGCTACCACTACCACTACTACAATGACGGACACGCATCGGAAGCGGCTGCTGTAAGTTGTAACTTGGGGTGGACGGGCGGGGGGCGGATGCCGAGGGAAGGGCGGCGGGGGACGCACGAGGGCGGATAGAAAGAACGAGAGAGAGAGAGAGAAGGGAAACTGCGCCGAAGAAGAGCACAGCGTACATTCTGCGCCAGCACCAGCCGCGAGCAAACGACGCACCGCCACTAAGAAAACAAACATCTGAACAAACGCAAGGGGCGACACGACCTTCGAACCTCTCCCGTCGTGGCCTCCTCCTGATCCGCTCCCTCCTCCTCCTCCTCCTCCTCCTCCTCTTCCTCCTCCTCCTCCTCCTCCTCCTCCTCTTCCCCCGTTGAGCACCCCGTCGTGGCCTCCTCCTGGTCCTCCGCCTCCTCGTCCTCATCCTGCTCATCATCATTATTCTCCTCCTGAGGCGGCTCCAGCCTGACAGGCCCAAAAACACCGCACTCAAAACGATGCGTCCGCCTGACAGGTCTCAACAATACACAGAACGAGGCTCCCGCCTGAGAGGTCCCCAAACAAACAAAAAAAAGAAAAGAGCCACCCCTCTCATCCCTCCGACATACACAAAGTTCCAGGGAGAGCTCCTCCTCACCCCCGCTTCCTCCTCTTCTTACCCGCCCTCTGGGAGATGAGGAGTTCTCCTCTGAAACTTTCGGTGTTTGGTTTTTGGGGGACAGTTGCAAGGATGAGAGGGGTGGCCCTTTTTTGTTTGGGGGGGGCTCTCAGGAGGGAACCTCGTTCTGAGTGTTTTCTTGGGGGACCCCTCAGGCGGGATCCTGATTTTTGATGTTTCGTTTTGGACCTCTCAGGCGGGAGCTTCCTTTTGAGTGAATTTGTTGGGGGCCTCTCGGGCGGGAGCTTCCTTTTGAGTGAGCTGCTTGGTGGCCTCTCAGGCGGGAGCAAAGAGAAGGGGGAGCACAGAGGAGCGGGAGGAGGAAAGAGGAGAGAGAGAGAGAGAGAGAGAGAGAGAGGAAGAGGAAGAGAGAGGAAAGAGAGGGAGTAAGACGTATGCAACCCTCAGAGGTCCGAAAGCCCGCCATACCCATCCAGTCTGGAGCTCTCCTGGCCGTCGGCCTCCCAACACAAAAACCTGAGACCCCCAGCACCGCGAAAAGACTAAGGAATGCGCCCGCAGAAACCATTCAACAAAAACACATGCATTTTAACAGGGGTGGATAGGCCAGGACCCATATATACACACACATCTATGTATGTATGTGTATACATATACACATACATACATACTGACATGTTCGCGTGCTTTTTATAGATATATGCATGCACGAACGAACGTTAAGCTGTACTGAGGCTAAGAATGCGCTGTGGAGAATATGTCGAATAACCGCCTCCGAATCGAATCTGTGTGCGGACGCTGCGATCATCCCACGGGCGCGAGCAAGACTGCGCCCGCAAAGCGTCCGGTGCCTCACCGTCGGACAGCAATACCAGTACGAATTGGCGCAAGTGTTTGAAAGTAAGAACGCAAACTGACGAATGGGCTGCTTCTCGCGAGTCGAGACCACACTGTGCAATACGAAACACAATATAAACACGACTTCCTACAGTAGCATGGGGCGCTTAGCAAAGCATCAAGTCGTGGCACGCGCTTCGCATATATTTCCATGGGGCTGGCGCAGGCGCTTGCCATGGATCTTGTCAATGCATCATTTCCAGATCTGCTTCGAATGAAACATGTCAGAAAACACTTCAGTATTGCAACGATCAGGGGTAAGAGCGTCTGCGAGCAATCTTACAACATTTGCAGTGCCGAGCCACATACACATACACGAAACGCACAGCTCAAACAACACAACATCAAGGGCGCCTTCTTCAGACTTGCGAGGACGAATAATCGGACCAACGCGGGATTTTAGACCAATGGAGACACTATGTGTCATCTTTCGCTCGACCTGTGGTGGTCATCAGTAACAACACACACACACACACACACTGGTCAGCGAATTCTCAAGTTCGCTGCGATCGGTCCGTGGGAGTACAAGCTGTCTGAACGTTTGCAAGAAGCGGTCTGCGATCAAATCTGAACATTGAAATCGGGGGCAGCGGGGGCGGGTGGTAGCTACGCTTTTGGGGGGGTTCTTTCTCTCTATACATCTGCTGATTGGTGGACGCAATTTCCACCGAAAAACAAGCAAAGACATTCACACGTCAGCTGATATCGCCATGCTGGCGACCCTCCTCCCTCTCCCCTGCGGTGTGCACGAACGCGCGTCCTGGATGCTGACTGGAACCAAGATCCGTGTGCAGCCCATTGTTGAGTGCAACGCCTTTCGAATCGCTGCCGATCTTGTCAAACATGTCTCGCTGGCAATGGGCTTCAGTTTTCATCGGCGAGCCTGGGGGGAAGTGAGAGAGGGCCGTCCTTCTCAGAAGGCGCGAGGGCTTCTGAGAAGTCCCGCCGCCTCCTGAGAAGGTCTGCCACCTCTCACGCCCTCCCCTGGGCCCGCCGCCGGCTTCGGAATCAATGCCCGGATGGTCAAACGTGGCCCCACTGGCAGTGGGCGTCGATCCACGAGGAAATGCAAGCAGCCATCTCGAATGTTCACTCCCGCTCGAGGCAACATGCTCCAGCGTAGGCGCAGGCAGCTCGAGACGTCTGCGGAGTCCAGGGCTGGCTGCGCTCCCGACCCACATGACCAAGCATCTATTCTGGACGTGGGCTAGAGCCAAGCACTACCTCCCAGCAGCACAGGGCCGAACGAGGGCCCGAAAAAGACGAACGAGAAAGGGCCAGAGGAAAGACACAACGGCAGAGGGAAAGCGACCGAGCGAAGCACCGAGGCCCGAAACCCGACTGAGCATCACTTTCACGACTCTTGTGGGAGAAGGCTCTCTGCGCTGGGACTGGCCCAGGCCGCAGCTTCTAAAATCCATCCGGTTCTGCTTCCCCGCCCAGGGGGAGGTCCTGGTTTCCTCCGAAGCAAGCAAGCCTACATCGCTTCTGACCGCGCCCGCTTCCAAACAATAGCCAAACAATACCCAGCCAGCCGTGGTGTGGCCCGCAACGGTCAGGCTGCTCGACGAGGGGATTCGACCTGGAAGCGGGAGCGGGGTAGGTCTTTCACCCTCGGGTTTCCTCTCGCGCCCCGAAGAGCTCATGGGGTGCGCGTGAGCCCCAACGCACTTAAAGGCTGCCTTTGCCGCATGGTATGCTCTGTCAGAAAAGTATTCTGCACACCAAACATGAAGCGCAGACGCCATGCAAGGCAATCTGGCAAACGCTTGCGCACGCGAACCTTTCTGGGCAACTTGAGATCCCCCCCTCCGTCTTTCCTGACCCCCTCGAGTCTCCGCTTCGCAGTTGGATGCCATCAGAAGATCGCTCAGGACCGGCTCCATGGCCATCTTCGCGCCCCATCCGCCACTGCGCACCTGCGGCGGTCCAGCGTGGGGGTCTCGACATACTAACGAGGCGAGGTCTCGATTCCAGACCTGTGTGACGCGCAGCGCCCAGCACGTATAGCACCTTCGCGGCGCAAAGAAAGGCCCTCGGGAAATCGCGTCAATGACCGAGTAAACCGCCTGATTATCATTGTCGACTCGATTTAAACTGCAAGCGACAAGCCGCACTGATGACCTCGCCGTTTTCAGAAGCGCGATTGACGGAGGAGGGCACGAGCTCTCATGCCGGTGCGACCAGTCGCCACACGGCGCGGCGCGGGCAGAACTAGAGAACACCGCGCAGCACCGCACGGCACCACACCAGGCAACCTCGATGGGTGACGACCATGGCACCTGGTGTCTGACGCGCACCCCCGAATTACGCCTTTCTCGTGCTGCCCTACACTCGGCTGCCAGCCTCACCTACCCTGTAGACGCTCGATCCACGCGCACTGCCACTATGACAGCAAATGGCGCGATTGTGGGCGCCACGGCGGCAGAAAACGACTCACGCCCTCTCTCGACACCTGGCGGGTTCTGGAAAACGTGAACCCAAAACCTTGCCCGCTTCCGCCCGCTTCCGCCTGCGGAGGCGGTTACTTCCGCGGGCGTCCGCCGCCCTTCTCCTGCCTTCCTCCGAGGAAGAGATTGCAACTCCTTCGATCCTCGAAGGCGAGGGCCCCTCTGGAGCGCGCCACCTGGCGCTGGGCGCCATCGTCAGCAGGACCGTTCCACTCCCGTGGGGGCTGCCCGGGTCACGTGACCTCAAGCTGCGCACCACGCGAGGCGCGAGACTCGCGCTCTCGCCGCCCTGCGGAGAAGAACCGCGCCTCTGGCTCGGACCGCGAAGCATAGCTATCTTCGCGCCCCCGCGTTAGAAGAAGAAGAAGAATCAGACTGAGAAGAAAACGAAAAAGAAGAAGAAGACAAAGGAGAAAGAGCATAAGCATAAACTTTCGGAGGTCCGTGGGTTTCTTGGATCGGCGCTGGACCCCCCTCTCCGGAGCGAGGAACGCGCCCAAGGGCGGCGCCGGAGACGTCGTCGCGCCGGGGGCGAGGAGGGCCGGCCCCGACCCGAGAAGCCCGAGCGGCGGTTCGAAAGCTCGTACCTCGGGGTGCTTTTGCAGGCTCCGACCTTCGCCGCCCACCCGTCCGACCACACGCACGCCTCCTCGTGGCAGCTCCGCGCTGCTCCCGCCGCAGCCCGCACTGCGCCCCACGTTCTTCCGATCACTGTGGCTGGCAAGCGTACAGTGAGCACATAATGATGAGACAGCGTGCTGTAAGAAATCTTGGGGCACATCTTGGGGTACATTCTTTGCTGACCTTTGAGGGTCCCAGAGTGTCACTGAGCTTCTGAAAGTCCCTGGTGCCCTCAGGCGATATGGCATTTCCGTGGGGCACCTGCTGACAAAGCAGCTTCTTATTTGATGTGCCTCCTGTCCTGCCGCGAGCTACGACATTATGCCAATTCAATCCTGCAACGACTGTGACGCGCATCATGCGGACCTGGAGCCAGGATGTCTGAACACACTGAACATGAGCTCGCCATCTCTTTTTCCTACTTGCCTGCCGAACCGTCTTCCTTGCCGTGGTCGCTAGCTGGAGGCTCTCCCTACCCAGACATATGGCGGCAAGTGTTTTCGAGACATGGGCCCCGAGACCTGTCGACCCCTTCCACGAGGCCGGCGTTCCTTCCTGAGATGTTTCGTTCGATGTTGCTGGAGTCTGAAACCAGCCTCCAGATATCCCAAGCGGCGAAATCAGCCGCCTCAATTCAGGGAGGTCCAGGTGGGCCCACCACCCGATCTGTCCCGAGATGCTCCGAAGGAGCCGCCAGACACCCCCAAGATAAGATGGCCTTCCCTAAGGCGCCAAGACAACCACAGATACCCCCCAGATGGCATCGGAGGAACACCGAGAAGCCCCAAACGAGGCCCAGCATGCCCGACAAGGAGTCCCCGCAGGGGCTCCGAGGGGTCTCGGAAAGCCTTCCTTTGGCTTCAGGACGGGCCCCGGACCGGCCCCGAGGGGGTCGAGGTGGCCCGGGAGTGCCCGCAGAAGCCCCAGGGATCACCCCAGAGAGGTCCATGAGGGCACCCAAGGAGGGCCCGAAGAGGTTTCGGGATAGAGCCCAAGATGCGACGACGAGGCCGCGAGACACCGCCCAGATTGCCCCCAAGGCCCTCGGAGAGAGCCCCACGGATCCCCGTGATGGCCTCAGAGGGCCCTGGAGGCACCGACAGAAACGAGGATCACATGCCAATGCGCCCGCGGGGCTGGCCTGTGAAACCGGCGGTTCTGCGCTTTGCCACACAGTGGCTCCAGAAAGTGCAGCGATGACAAACCTGTGAGGCCCGTTGGTCCGAACTCGAACCTCGCCACCCGTGCCGACCGGCCAAGAAACCCTGGACCCCCAGAAGATGCCAATCCCTACGGAGGGGCAACTTTTGTCTGCCAGCTCCCGCTCGCCAACTTCCGCTGGCCTTCCGACGAGACAGAGGTGCCAACGCCAATCGCTAAAACGTGCAAGCCTGCATTCGAATCGCAACTCTCTCTGAAGTTGTAGTCGTAACGATCCTAGCAGCAATGCGGGGTGTTGCAACTGCAAGGTCGCAGGACGTTGTACCACTGGAAAGGATAAGCGCCGATCTTTAGGTTTGCAGGGGGCGCCAACCGCTGCAGACACGCATCACAAACGCACATCCACGACGATACCCGTTCGAAGCATCCCGTCCTGGTAAGGTACATGGAGCCTCGAGGAACAAACAACACAAAAAGGGCTGTCCAGAGCGGGCCAAGGCCGAAGCACCCGACTGACTTTGGCCTGCAGCTCGTCCACGTAGAACATCGCGTTGCGCCGCGTCATGTCGTCCCCATCCGACTGCTCCGTCAGCACGAACCTGGCTCTGCCCCGCGCGCCCCGTTCCGAAACATGCCCAAGCCATCACACGGAACACTGTGCGCCCGCGAGGCCAATGCGAGCGAGACGGAAAAACCAGCTGGCGCGATGGAAGATGGACGCCAAAATCTCGGGATCAGCGCAACACCGTGCGACACCAAACTTGGGAATGAAGAAGTTGCTTCGGCTCTGTTGAGCCTTTATGGTTTCTAGAATCCTACAGGGCAAACTTTGAGGCCAGCGCCCCTTTACGTAGGTTGTTTCGGCTGTCCTCTTCAAAATCTGACCATTGTGTCAATATTAGATCGTCAACGCAGGCGGTACAACTACTTCTGCTGCTGATCCCTGCGACTCTCAAGCTCGCTTCCAGAATATCATTGATCTCCCATGGACGCCGTCGCCGTCACTGCGGCCTATACGGTCTACTTCGGATATGGTGAGCACACCAATGCTGACCCTTTATCAAACGTGCATGCTAAAATGATGCTGTTCCTCCACAAACAGCTTCCTCTGTCAGACTTCGGTGCCGACACTTAAACCCTGAACAGCCAAGGAAGGCCACCGATCAACCCAAATCTTAGCTCCTTGACCTCAATCCAAGCCGCGGAAATTAACGCGGGGGTACGAGAACAACAATCCTGACACTCCTGTCTGGCTCCGAATGCTGGGAAAAGGTCCCCGCCGGAGAAAGCCACTGCAATTGAACAATGGAGACAAAATGCGGACGGCAACCCATTCGAGCCGGGTGTCTGCGTTAAACTTTCTGTCGGACGGAGGCGTCCGTCGCCCGGACACTGCAATACTGCACCATGCCATGCCATCTTTCTGAAAGACCCCGCGCTCGGGAGATGCAATCTTTTCTGGGAGTTCCTGGAGGCCCCCGTGGCCCCTTGGAAGCTCAACGAAACGTCTGTAAACGCCCTGGATCTCGGGCTGAGGTGATACGCAGCCTCAAGCAATTCCCCTGGGCACCCCCCAAACTGGGCAGGCGTGCGGATCATTCCCGGACGAATCCATCAACATCTATCTAGGACGCATGTTGGGCGTCTGCTTGCTTGCTTGGTGTCGCATCATCGCCGACTTCGCCCTCCACCGATGTTACCGAACGATGAATTACTCGACCGGTCTGCCTTGCTCCTGAGAGTATGCCACCGTGCCCCCTGATACGCTGAGGCGTGGTAGAATGCCAAGTGCTCTGCCTGGTAGGGTTCGCAAGTCTTCCAAGGACCCCCCCCTGCCACGGTAGAGGGAAACAATTACTGAACGCTCCCCCTCCCCCCCAAGCTCAAAGTTGGCACGCGCGGGGGAGACTACGGTCGAGGTGCAGCTCATCAGACCCACCGCCAACTTTGAACGTTGGGGGAGTGGGAGGCGTTGACAGATGAATGTGGCATGAATCTTCGCTACTTTTTCTGAGGCCATCACGCTCAGGGGTGTGTGCCCCCCCCCCTCCCGACCCGAGGCTCCCTGGGCGCCCCGACGCTTCCTGGAGCTCTCGAATGCACTCCAAGGCCCAAGACGGCCAAAGAAAGCCACCAAAGCCTCCAATACGGCCCGCGCTGCCTCCCGAGGCAGCCAACAACTCCCAAGAAGTGCCGAGCCGATCCCAGGAGGCGTCCAAGAGGTCTGAGAGGCCCCTCCCCCCGACACCCTCAAGGCGCTGCTCAGCATGCCCTCGAGACGCTAAACACATGAGCTGTCCATCTGATTCTCCAACGTGTTACGCTTTTCCACGCTCTTCGGTTGATGGTCGGTCCACTTGCGATCTACGAAAGTCCAGAAAAGCAACTGAGATCCCCAAGATGACCCCCAGGCGGCCCCCAAGAGAGTCCCAAAGCTGACCCTGGAGAGCTTTTGGACGGGCCCGACGCGGCCTAATATGGCCCCATCGACGGCCCCATGGCGAGAGCACCAGTCCGGCCCAAGAGTGTTCCAAGGAACCCCCCAAGACTACCGCCCAATTCAATCTCAAGACGTGTCAAATGCGCTCCATGATGGTCATCAAGAAGTGGTCACGGTATGTGCCACATGCGACAGCCTTCGGTGCTCCAGGCTTTGCCACCCAGAAGGCGGAGGCTGCACTGTGGGGGGGCTTATCGCAAGCACCTGAGATATATTGTCCTACCCAACATGGACATGGCTGCATATCCTATACAACTATACAAGCAAGTCTGAATTGTCCGACACCGCGTGTTCTCTTATGTTCGGTGGTTGTTGCCAAAACTGCTGGGCAAATGGCGTCGGCCACACATCGGAAACCGATCCGCAAAAAACCTCCGATGTTAGGAACACTTACGGTCCTTGCGGAGTAGACGGGGCAACTTAACTATACGTCCCCGTATATGTATTACCATCACCATGGTAATACATGTTTGCCTGGGCGCACCCCCGCTTATATACTGCGCATTAATTCCAACAACAGTATCGCAGACACTGCACCATCCGTCTACTGCCACGTGGTGTCGGAATCCCCGTTCGACATCGGTCCTCAGGCATAGGCATGGTCCTTTGAACACATGTCCTTGTCGTATGGGATTCCAACACGGCTTAACCCTGATGCCCGCTATCGTGACTTTGCCTGCCACACCTTAGAGACCTCGGGATCCCGAGTCAAATGTACTCGGCGAGCAAATGTTCATGCAGAAATTCGGAAAACTACTGGCCAATGTGGTCGAATCGTGATCGAAAGCGCCGCGTGCTCCTTCTTACAACATGGCGGGCTATATAGGTGGTAAATTAAAGAATGGATGTTCTGAACGTGCCGTGCATTCGTGGCGTTGCCTGGTAGGTCCTGAGTCTGACGAGGGCCCGATTGTGAAGGCGCGGGCGCGCGCGAAATCAATCTGACATTCCGTCCTCCAATGTTATCCTGCCCTTCAAATTATTATCTCCTTGCTCCCGCTGCTACTGGTTTCCCTCGCGCCGCCATCCGCATGTGTAGATGTGTGAATGTATGTATATTTGTATATATATATATGGATATAACGGGGAACGCCGTGTTCCCCTGTTTCTGTGGGCGGCTCCACAAACAATGACGTTTCACCGGGGCGAAGTTGGCATTCTTTACACACCAATTCAACAACAGACTGTGTGTTTGATTTGTTTGTGTGTTTTGATCTATATATACACATAGATTAAAAAATGGACGTGTACAAATCGTTGTTTCCGTCGTGACGTGCTTGCTTACTGAACAATAATGGGCAGCAAACAAATAAATATGTAAAGTCGTATCGTTTTCTGAGCTTCCAAATTCAAGCCACATGTTGCAGACTCGTGCAACTTGTACGACGAGGTTGGTGTCTTGTGATCTGCCGGCTTCCATCTAAAAGTGAGCAGCCACATTATCAAACACCGATACATACATGAAGTCTTATCATGTTATGATTTCGTGAGCAGTTCAATGAGGATCTCTCATATGTTGCATACGTGCGCAGCCTGTACGGAGGGCTTGTTTTCTTATGGTTTGCCGATGTCCAAATAAAATTGAACAGGACATTATCAAAAACATGCAAATACATAACAAAATTCCATATCGTTTTTTGTTGAAAACTAATACGTACGCCGTTCCCAGAGGATTTCCCACGAGCTCCGTAACCCTGCGAGTTGTAGGAATCGTTGATTTCTGTTGTTCGAGCACACAAATCCAGCGGTGTGCCGATAACAACATCAGCAGTCCATCAAGAGACGCAGCATCAGGAAACGACTCAACCCTCTGTTTTTGTCAACCGTCGTACTGGTTTGAGCAAGATTTCGTCTTTGACGGCGCGATGGCAAAGGCTCGGCTGTTTTTCACGTTCAAAAGACCGATGAAGCTGACGACTTTGCACGTCGAAGCTTCGTATCCAATTGGCTTCATATGCGGAAGCTCCTCTTTTATTAATTTATATAGCTGAGATAACTGAGTCCCGCGAACTGGCGCATCATCTCTAATTTTCTGACGTTGGGGCCTTCGAAATAGCATGGCATCTCCTCCGGCACCTATATATCAACGTCGTGCGCAATAAATCCATAGAAGACTGTGGACCGCTCTGAAAGCGCCAATGCCCGTAAAAGACGTTGATGCATCCGCCACGTTTCGTCAGTTTGCTTTTTTCTCTGGTGTTAATCTGGTGCATCACAAGTTGTCAACTGTCTGATTGCTCCAATCAGCATTGATTCGCTGAATTATATCAGGCTCTTGAAATAATTCTGACATGGGTGCTGAGCGGCCGCTTGCTATCATGCAGCGCGTGCAGAATAGTCAGTCCACCTGGGTGTGCGCCACTGCCAAAATTTAAGCATGTTACTTCTTTGCGCAAGGAATCGGGAATTTGGCCCGCCGAACACGAGGGTGATCTATTTGAAACAAACCCATCGTTGAAGACATGCAGCACGCGCTGTTGCCCGCTGCTTATATGATGGCGCGTTGTTGTAGCTTGCCTGTTTTGCTTTTTAACCCTGACAGTGCAAATTCATGGTTCCGCATCCTTCTTCCACTGACTGACTTGCGCCCGCTGCGCCCGGGAAAAGGCGCGGGAAGTTTGCGAAAATGAGGAGGGGGGGGGGGGGGGGGGTAATGATCAGCGCAGATGCACGCGTGAAATGATTTTGCTTCTTGATTTGCGATGTACTGAGTTGCATTAGAGGTTGCTACACGTTGCTTACTTGTGCTAAATGTACGCGTCGGCGTTTACAGACATGCCTTGCGTGGCTTTGCAGAAGATGAGCAGATCGATTACCCGAAAACAAATAAAGTACATGAAGTGATCTTGTTTTCGGGATTTGCAATCTGCTCCGTTGCATGAGCGTTCGCCGCTTATTGCGTATTTGCGCGAGTTACACGCAACATTGTTTGAGGAAAAATCACTTTCATATCTTTACAGAGACATGAGCAGACAAATTATAAACAACCGAGAAACACATGAAGTCACATGTTCTGCATGTGTTTACTGCGTGGCGGCCTGCCTGTTTTAATAAGTGAATCTGACGTGGCAGACGTGCAGTCGACGGCTGAGCATGAATACGTGAGCGGTATAGTTTCGCATTTCTTTGTGCTGTCCAGAAAATCGCTGCTCGGCGGCAGCCCCCTCCGTCGCCTGTGGGCGGCTCGCGCGTGGCTGCATTTAACGCGCACATTTTTGCTTCTTCGCTCATTAGACCACGGAGATGTTTGAGCTCAGTGTTTGCCAAGCCCATTGTGCAACCTCTGTAATGATGTAATAGTTGCGTAATTCATCGCGCGAACTGCATTTGCCGACGTCTTCAAATATACCTGCCTCGGCCACTGGTTGCGCGCAGGAGCCGAACTGGAGAGCCCAACCGAAACATTTGAGTCAAGTCAACTGATCACGGAATGCGGATGCAACGCGTGGTCGAGCAAATTGAAACAGAAATATCAAGCTGATATGGCGTTCCTCAATAACGCGCTCTTTCGCGGCCCTTGCTAACGCCGTCGTCGTCGCCGTCGTCGCCGCGGCGCCCCCTTCCTCCAGAGACTCGAACGCGGGGCCATCGCGCGCGTCAAGGACTACCCCGCGACGCCCCAGAGCGCGGGGTGCTCGAACGATTCTTTGCGGGCTGCAGCCGCGGACTCCCCGCGGTCAAGACACGAGCTTTCGGCGGGCGGCTTTGGCCAACCGTAGATCGGCGCGTCGAGGTCGTCGCAAGCTGCATCCGCGAACTCCGGGGCCTCGTTGTCCATATTGGGCATCGGCCCATGCTCCTGAATGCAATCGACGACCCTGCGTTTCGAATCCTCGTCCGTGGGCCGCTTCGGAGCGCCCGAGTCCACGACCGCGTAGTATCTCACCTGGAGCCCTGGCAACCAGTCAAGTACATGTTGCAGCGCTCTGGGGCCGCCCCTGAAGCGAGCGCCGCAGTCCACCTCGTGCATCGACCCGCGACACATGTGGAACGCATCGCTGTACTTGATCTGATTGTCCTTCTCCACCGTGAGCAGCTTGAAAAGGCTCCGCGCGTTGTCGGTATTTTGGTGGCGAACGTCTGCATAGCGTAAGGCAGATCGATACGCATGGCGGACTTGAGGGTGTCAGGGTTGTGCTCGTAGCAACTGACTGGACAGGACAATCCGCTCGAGCCCCTTCATCTTCGCCATCCTTTGATCGGGCTGGCAATCCTCCGTGCGGGTGCACGAAATCTACAAACTGAGCGAGCTTCGCGAGCTTCGTAAAACTTTCAGCGGGGGCCATGGGGAGATTTCCCAGCCACGCCTGATCGGGTCCGATCTCGTCGGGCAATAAATTCTTCACAATCGGCTGTGGCAGCAGCGGACCGCGCTTTTGGCATTTTGTCCTCACGATAGCTTCTCATGCCACGATCTTCAGGAACATCACAGAAACGAGCGAAGCTGGTCGCTCGGGAATTGTGGGCGCTGGCCATTGTGAGCTCTCAAACAAGATCTGACAAGGCGCTGGTGCCACGGACTTGAGAGCAAGCTGGCGGCGAAAAGCATCGGCGATATCGAGGACTACAATATTCGGCCTGACCTAAGGACCGACAAATAAGGAACGAAGCCCCTTTTTTCCAAGTAAGCCGAGGTAGCCCGGAGGAACACCAAGGGGGTTCACCGCCAAACAATAGCGGACACATGCAAACCAAAGGAACGACCGAGCCCCTTTTGAAAAGCAAGCGTTCGTTATTCAAGCCGGACACTGTACAGCTCGGGGCTGGGTGCTGTTTGTGATCTGAGCCTCTGGACCCCTTGTGTCAGCTCCCAAAACATGTCCCCAAGTTTGTGTTGTTTTCCTGCGTTTGTTATATATATATATAAACCAGCTTTTTGTAAACAGCTAGGCAACATTTGGATTGTGGGTTTTCCACCGAAACACAACAAAACATTCTGTTTTTTGTTTCCAGTTTGAAAGACCAAACGAACCCAAGGAAAACCAAAAACCCCACAAAACAATCCCTGTATAATTTTCCCCAGAGAACTACATCCCCAGGGATTTCTTTCTGGTTTTCCTTCGTTTTTTTTGGTTTTCATTTTTCGGTGTTCCTTATTGTTGTTGGTTTTCTTGTCCGCTGATTTTTTCTTGGGGCCACGAAGGACAACACAACAAAACAATGGAACAGCAAAAAACCGAAGGAACACCAGGAACCCAAAACCCTGAGGGACTCCCCCCAGAGACCTTCCCAAGGATTGTTTTTTGTTTGCTTGGTGTGTTTCAGATTTGTTATGTTCTTCAGCTCGGTGCCACAAAACCTAAGGAACAGCTAACAACGCCCTTGAAGATCTCTCCAAGGGCTGTCCTATTGCTGGGGTGTGTAAGGGCCGCTGCAAACCTTCCTAGTGAATCTGCGCTTTGTTTGTGTGAACTGCGGGTCGGAAAACCGTTCGCCCCCTTCAAATAATACAGGGGCACCCAGGGTTCCTCTCTGTATGTATATATGTATATATACACATATATATGTGCATAAACACATCTATATATGTGTGTATATATATATGTATGTGTATACATATACGTAGCCACCTTTGCGTCCATCAGGCTGCGAGGATCATGCTTGCTGCTCCCTGCTCCAGTTCCAGTTGCCAGCGTCCATCGAAATAGTTCTACGATATGCTTCCTACTGTAAACTGTTCACGTCCGCGCGAGGGGGGGGGGCCGAAACGCAGCCTGCTTAGCGTCCCCCCCTGGGGTTCCCACAACTCCTGGGGGGGCGCGGGACACTTACAAAGACATGAGACTCGCGCCCCGAGGCCACAAACCATCTGAACATACGCCATATCCGCACTCCCGAAGCCATATACCATTGTAACTTACACTATTCTCGCGTCCCCGAAGCCTGCATCTTATTGCATTCCACAACAATCGCGCCCCCGAGGCCATCATCCCTTGTAAATTACGCAACATGCGCGTACCCGAGGCCACAAGCCCTCATAACTTATACCATATTCGCGTCCCCGAGGCCATTATGTTCGTAACGTATGCGATATTCGCGGCACCGAAGCCACAAGCCCACGAAACTTACGCAATATCATATAGTACCCCCGTCTCATGAAGCTTCCAAAACCGCCCCATTACAGCCCAAAACGCCTCCGACAGGGCCCCAAGGCGGCCCAAAACGGCTCCAAGATAGCCCAAGAAGTGCTCAAGACGGCCCAGGAGGGCCCCAAGACGGCCCCAACAGGGGCCCAAGCAAGGGACCACAATTCGAACATTTGATACTTGTGCCCCGAGAAGCCCCCAGGAGGCCCCAAGAGGCCGCTGAGAGGCCCCAGGAGGCTCCAGGAGGCGCCCAAGATGCATCCAAGAGGCCCAAAAGATACCCCACGAGGCCCCCTGGAGGCGCCCGAACCGCCTCCAAGAGGCCCTCTTGGGGCTCCCCACGACATCCCAACACATCTACAAGAGGCCTCAGACCCACAACTCAGGCACGGAAGCGGGATAGGCCGAAGGCCACTGGATAACGCCAACGTCTCCATATGCGCTGATGATTCCTATCCGCCCCCGCATGACGTGCCCAGATGCGTCACGGCAGCGCCGAGACGCACGGACGCGACTCCGATATATCCCATTCTCACAGAGAGGGGGCCGGCGGCAGGTGGCGAAGCCCTTGAGGATATATACAAATAGAGAGAGAGAGAGAGAGAGGGAGCGAGACAGAGAGAGAGAGAGCCCAAGGTCGCGCGCACAGGCAGTGCGGAAGCGAACGCTCTGCGGCCGACGCTAAGAAGTGCCCCACACTGTCGGAAAGGAGACGCTCACATCTCGCCCCCGTCCGCGTCGCCTCGTCCCTGCGCCCCTCCTCTTCCGCATCCTTTTGCTTTTGAGGGAGACGATGGCGGACATTATGACTCAACCGGAGGTGTCAAAACGCGAAGGCCACCACACGCCAAGAGCCTGGCAAAAAGAGATCTTGAAGCAGAACTGCAAGCGGGACAAGGACCGATTCAGGCCTGGCGTCTTCAACCCCTGCTGCTGGCGGAGGGGAAGGGGAGGGAGGGATGGAGGCAGAGGAAGAAGAAAAGGAGCGAGCTACACTGGGGATGGGCTTCGAAGCGAGGACCCTCCCCTTCAGCATCCTCCTCCTCCTCATCATTACCACCCTTCTCCCCCTACCTTTGCTTCCATCTTCGGCCCAGTCGCAAGAACGGTCTTCATTTCCGTTGGCGTCTGTGCTTGCGCGTTCGCCGCGAGCAGCAGCAACCCTCAACCGAGGGGCGAGCCGGAGCAGCCGACATCGTGCGCCAGCTGGCTCGGGCCCAAGTACCACCACATGTTCATCGACAACTTCTCGCCCTTCTCCACCACCAATGCCTCGTGCTGAGTCCGCCAATCGACCTGCCACGGGTCGTCGTTCTGCACCGACGGCCATAGAATCGCGTTACCGCGCCCAGGCTGAATCTTCAGCGAAAGCTGGGGAAAATAAGTGCCCCCGCCCTCCGTCACGTCGTTGAGGTACATGAAGAAAGTGAAAATTCGATGCTTGCCGATGTTTCGTGGATCGTTACGCGCGCCTATCCTCGCTGCGTCGTGGTGCGCTTTGTAATACATCCCCTGCGTGTACTTCAGAAACTGCATGGACTCCATATCTGCCACCGTGCCGTAGGCACGCACTGAGTGGAGCGGCCTGAGGTCCCTTCGATTTCTCTGCAACAAACACTGTACATGCTTCTGGAACGGCCCATGGCCCTGGAATTCCGGGTGCTCTCGCGCGCTTCTGGACGTCCTCGTGCGTTCCTGTGAATGCTCGCGTGACTTTTCCAGAGGCTTCGGGAGCGTGGCCGCGTGCCTCCTCCTCCTCCTCCTCCTCCTCCTCCTCCAGCATGCTCTAAGACGCCCCCACAGAGAACATCCTGTGGCGATCTTGGCGCCACGTGGGCCGCGTTGGAGGCCCTGGGCGCTGGCCTGCGAGGACAAAGTAAGACTCGGCTTTTCAGTCTGAAGAGCGGTCAAGACTGCCTCAGAGAGACACCCAGCCCAAGATCGCCCCACCCCAGGAGGGGCCCAAGAAGGAGAGCACGAACTGACATGTGGAGCCCCTCTATCCAACATGCCTCCCGAAGGCCCCCAAGATGCCCCCAGTCAGCGCTCAAAAAGTCCCATGAGACTTTGAAGAGGTCCCCAAAAGGCCTCCCAAGAGACTTTTAATGGGCCTCTTTGTTCACGATCCAAGCACGTTGGCGGGATGGGCCGAAGGCCACTGGATCCACCGCCCCCTGTCGATTCATCGCAGGGGTGCCTAACGTGCCGAACTATATGGGTTTTGGTTTAGGATTTTTTTCCAAAAGTTGCAAAGGGTTTTTCCGTTCCAGACGTTCCCCAAGATCGTCCAAGATGGCCTCCAAGACGCCTCCAAGACGGCCACGATGGCCTCCAAGATGGCTAAGATGGCCCCAAGATGCCTCCAAGACGGCCCAAGGTGCACCCAAGACGCCCTAAGATGGCCTCAAGATGGCCCAAAACGGCCCAAGAGGCTCCAAAGATGCCTCCAAGACGGCCCAAGAGGCCTCCAAGAGGTCCTCCAGGAAGGCCCGAAGAGGCCAAAATCATTGATTTTCCTTAGGTTTTTTTTTTTTTAGGATTTTGGTATTTGCGCCTTTTCGGCTTTCCGACGGCCCAAGACGGCCCAAGAGGCCCCCAAGGTCACCCCAAGATCGCCCAAGAGGCCTCCAAGATGGCCCCTTGACGGTCCAAGAGGCCCCCAAGACGGCCCCAAGACGGCCCCAAGAAGGGCCAAGAGGCATCCAAGACGCCCAAGATGGCCTCTACGACGGCCCCGAAGCGCCCCAAGAGGGCCCCAAGTCGGCCCAGAGAGGCCCCCACGACGGCTCCCGACGGCGTCAGACGTGCCAGGAGCCCACCAAGACGGCCGAAGATGGCCTTAAGATGGCCCAAGACGGCCCAAGAGGCCTCCAAGAGGGCCTCCAGGAAGGCCCGAAAAGGTTAAAATCAGTGATTTCCCTTGAGTTTTTGAAGGATTGTGGCATTTGCTTTTTTTCTGCCTTCCGACGGCCCGAGACGGCCCAAGTGCCCCCAAAGATCGCCCAAGACGGCCCCAAGAGGCCCCCAAGACGGCCCAAGAGGCCTCCAAAACGCTCAAGATGGCCTCCAAAACGGCCCGAGAGCCCTCCAAGATGTCCTCCAAGACGGCCCCAAAGGGTCAAAATGGCCTCCAGACGGCCAAGATGACCTTCAAGATGGCCACGTGTTCCCCGAAGGCTTTCCAAACCGATTCGGGGAACACATGGTCCGATAGCTTGGCAGGTCTGGCCTCAACGTTCGGCCACATAGGCGCTTCCAAAAAGGCAGGGGGCGGCGGTGATTCGCCGCAATTAGGCGTCTTCGATCAGCCGCCCCCTGTTGATTTCTCACAGGGGTGCCTGGCGTGCTGGATCCTTTCGGTTTTGGTTCTTTTAGAAATTCTCCCTGGGGCTTCGGCTCAGCGCGCCGGCCACGCGGAAGGCGCGCAAACGACCTCAATACTCCGAGACTGCTCAAGATGGCCTCCAAAGGGTCCAGATGGCCCAAGATGGCTTCCAAGTTCGCCCAAGATGGTCCAAGATGGCCTCCAAGACGGCACAAGAGGGTCCAAGATGGCCCAAGCCGGCCCCAGTGGCCTTCGAGGGGCTTTCACGACGGCCCACGAGGCCTCCAAGAGGTGTTCCAGGAAGGCCCGAAGAAGCCAAAATCATTGATTTTCCTTAGGTTGTTGAAAGATTTTGGCTTTTCCTCCGTTTTCGTGTTCCGACCGCCCAAGACGCTTCAAGGAGTCATCAAAATCATCCCAGAGGCCTCCAAGATGGCTCCAGAACGGCCGAAGAGGCCTCAAGCCAGCCCCAAGAGGGCCCCAAGACGGCCCAAGAGGCCGCCAAGACGCCCAAGATGGCCTCCAAGATGTCTCCAAGACGGCCAAGATGACCTCCAAGACGGCCAAGATGGCCGCTCAGACGGCCAAGATGGCCCAAGATGGGCCCGAGAGACTTCCAAGATGGCCCCAGAGGCTTCCAAGAGGTCCTCCAGGAAAGCCTGAAGAGGCCAAAATCACTGATTCTCCTTAGGGTTTTGAAGGATATTGGCTTTTCCTCCGTTCTGGTGTTCCGACAGCCCAAGACGGCCCAAGGGGTCCCCAAATCGTCCCAGAGGCCTCCAAGATGCCTCCAGTGAGGTTGTCATGCGTATTTCAGACTCTCCTCCTCCTTCGCCTCCGTCCCACCTCCCGTGTGTGCCGCCGTTGTGGCTCGCAAGGGCCCTTGAGTCATCTGGCGCGCAGGCGATGGGCGCGCCCTGGCCACCGTACAAGGAAAGAGAACGTGCTCTCTTATAGCATGGGTCTCCTAGTACTTCGAGTCTCTCTCTGTCTCTCTCTCTCTCTCTGTACTCCATACAGTTACTCCCGTCATTCCACATCCAGAACAGTCGAAGAGGCCACGAGGCCCCGAAGCCAGCTCCTAGAGGGCCCCAAGACGGCCCAAAAGCCTTCCAAGACGCCCGAGACGGTCTCCAAGATGCCTCCAGCCTCCAAGACGGCCAAGACGACCTCCAAGACGGCCAAGATGGCCGCTAAGACGGCCAAGACGGCCAAGATGGCCAAATATGGCCCAAGAGGCATGCAAAATCGCCCGAAGATCACCCAAGAGGCCTCCAAGATGGCCCCATGACGGCCCAACGGGCCCCAAGACGGCCGCATGAGGGTCCAAGATGGCCTCCAAGACGGCCCAAGAGGGTCGAAGATGGCCCAAGACGGCGCCAGAGGCCTTCGAGAGGCTTCCAAGACGGACCACGAGGCCTCCAAGAGGTGTTCCAGGAAGGCCCGAAGAAGCCAAAATCATTGATTTTCCTTAGGTTGTTGAAGGGTTTTGGCTCTTCCTCCGTTTTTGTGTTCCGACCGCCCAAGACGCTTCAAGGAGTCATCAAAATCGTCCCAGAGACCACCAAGATGGCTCCAGAACGGCCCAAAAGGCCTCAAGCCAGCCCCAAGAGGGCCCCAAAACGGCCCAAAACGGCTCCAAGCCAAGACGGACCCGGAACGCCCTAAGACGGCCAGAGAGGCCTTCAAGAAGCCCCCAAAGGCGCTCAAGAGGCTCAAAGAGGCCCCCAAGAGGCATCCAAGAGGCCCCCCGGAAGCTCCCAGGAGGGCCCAACAGCACCCCAAGAGGCTTCCAAGAGGCCTCCTCCTCCTCTTCCTTGTTCCTCCCTCTTCTCCACTTCCTCTTTCTATCCCGACGTGTTCCCCGAAGGCTTTCCAGACTGACTCGGGGAACAGATGGTCCGATAGCGTGACCAAGCTCTAGCCCAACTTTCGGCCACAGAGGCGTTTCCAGCAAGGCAGGGGGCGGCAGTGATTCGCCGTAGGCGTCTTCGATAATGAGGATGGACTTGCAGCATTTCGCTGACGCGGGATATGAGCCGCAATCCGATTGGGTGTTCTGAGCATGCGCAGTTGCACCAAGCCACATCGGTCTTCCTGTTACTAGAAAAAACCATCTGGCGCCTACCAAACTCGTCCTCCTCGCCGGAATCGGACGCTGACTGCCACGGTCCCCGCGTCTTCTCGTCTTTGAGATACTCGATCTCCTCATCGGTCAAGAATTTGGGGAACATCACGACCCAAGGATCTTCACTCAGAACTTTCACATCAAGGCCCTTTATGTTGAGCAACCGCTGAAACGTCTTATTCAGGTCTCCTGGTCCCAAGGAGTCAGGCATGTCCATGAGGTGCTTGCACCGCACCGCCCAATCGTTCAGATGGCACGTGTTGCACGAATGGGCGCACACGTCGATCATGAACGACGGGTTGTCCTCGCACCCCAGCCCACCGTAGGCCTGCGCCCACTGAGGGCAGTCCGGGTTCCTGTCTGCGCAGTCCTTGCAGCCCTCTGGGCCGTCGGGGCACGCGGGCCAGATCTGCTGAGTGTTCCCGCTGTTCGGGCCGATGCAGCGTTGCCGGTCGCAGCTGTGCTCGCAGTCGGGGTAGACTGGCAGCTCGACGCAGCCCTTGCCGTCAGCAGCGCACGTCTCGTCCTCCCCTGCTGCTCTCGCCGGCAGCGCCGCCGATGCCAACACCAGGGCAATCACCGACAGCGCCCACGGCATCCTCACGAAGGCTGCGCACGCGCCCATCGGGCGGACGTGTGAAACACCTGGGCACTGACTCTCGAGAAGCGGCGGCCACGGAGCAACAATAGCACAGCTCAGAGGGAGGACACCCAAGATGCTGATGCCTCACCTCTACTTTCGCCGCCTTCCGCCGGCGGACCCTTCGCCGATCTACTTCTGCTGGCCTTCCGCCGAGGGCGCGAAGATGCGCCGACCGCGAGGCCCTAACCGGAAGGCCCCATTTCCGAAAGCTCCCGAGCTCTGGATGGGGGCCCGGCTGGCTCAACCTGTGCCGCGGCACGGGCGCCCGTCCAGGACGGCGGGCACTAGAAGAAGATACATGCACAAACGTGTCAGCCGGCGTGGGCCCGAAACGGTAGGTGAATGCACTTTGGGTGTGCAGGCTGTGCGGTGTAACCAGGAAGTGCAAGCTATGAGGTGCAAGCTATGTGGTGCAAGTTGCATGTGGTGCAAGCTATGCGGTGTAATCAAACTTCGTGGTGCAAGCTATGTGGGGCAAGCTAGGTCGTGCAAGCTGTGTAGTGCAAGCTATGTGGAGCAAACTTCGTTGTGCAAGCTATGTGGTGAAGGCTATGTGGTGCCACATGGTCCATGTGGTGCACGAAGTGCTGTGCAGTATACGTGGTGCAGTGTACGTGGTGCAAGCAAGCACTTGCTCAATTTGAAACTGTCCTCTCTACTGCTCGTGCAAACATCCTACCCTCCCACCCGCAACTTGGTCGCAAGACCTCTTAAGACCGTGACGGTGGGTACTAAATGGCACTTGGCAACAGCACCGACGCCGACGACGACAGCGACAACGACGACGACGACGCCGCCGGCAACGACTACGACGACACCGACGACGTTTCCCACGACTTCGACGACGACGACAACGACGACGACGACGCCGACGACGACGACGCCGACGCCGACGACGGCGACGACGATGACAACGACGACGACGACGCCGACGACGACGACGACCACGTCGCCAACGAAGACGACGACGACATCGACGACGACGACGACGACGACGCCGACGCCGACGACGGCGACGACGATGACAACGACGACGACGCCGACGACGACGACGTCGCCAACGAAGACGACGACGACGTCGCCAACGAAGACGACGACGACGACGAGGGAGGAGGGAGGACGACGACGGCGGCAACGACAACAACGACGAGGAAGGAGGGAGGACGGCGACGACGCGAACGACGAAGAAGGAGGGAGGACGGCGACGCCGACGACGACGACGACGAGGGAGGAGTGAAGACGCCGACGACGACGACGACGACGACGACGGCGGCGACGAAATATGAGGGACAACAACGAAACGCAGACGAAGACGACGAGGGAGGAAGGACGACCACGGCGACAACGACGACGGAAACGACGACGACGCCGAGACGACGACGACGACGAGGAAAGACAGAGGACGACGGCGACGACGACGACGACGCAAAGAGCACGCGCGCACGCTTTTGTTGAAAATCCGTGTTGCGAAACCTTTTGTTTTTGTATGTTTTTTGGACACTCGATTTTGACATCCTTGAAAAACCGAAGTTGTTGAAGGATTTCGGCATGCGCGCGCGACGACGCGCGCGTGCGCACTTCATCCCGTCTTTTTCTGCGGATTCTCGCGTCGGCACGCGCGCAAGGGCGTTCGACAGATTTCGACTTGCGCGCGCGTGCGAAGCCCGTTTGGTAATACTTCTTAAAAATATTGAGAACCGGTGGTTTTCTTAAGATGTCGCAAGAGCGCGCGCGTATTTTTTTTGCAAATCAATATTGCGAAACCCTGTGCGGTTGCGGTTTTTGAAGGATTTCGGCATGCGCGCTCGGAGACGCGCGCGTGTGCAGGTCGTCCAGTTTTTGTTGCAAAGGGCTCTTGAACACTTATGATGCTTAATAAACGGGTGCGCGCATAGTATTTTGTGGAAAGGATGGCGGTGGAGAGTGAAACCGGCCTGGCTGGGATAGTATGAATTCACAAGTAGGATGGACGAATGTGCAGGATAAATATGACATCGCAGTACCCCAAGAGAGCCGTTAACTCCGTGTGGGTGGGTGGGTGTGGGGGGGGGGGTAGAGTCTATTCTTCTTATAGAAAGGAGAATCTCTGTGGTGTAAGCTATGTGGTGCAAACTATGTTGTGTAAGTTGTTTGGTGTAAGCTCTGTGGTGCAAACTCTGTACTACAAGCTCCTTGGTGCAATTTACGTGACGCAGTCTGTCGGGGCGCCGACTAGGCGCCCAGTGGCGGGCGCCAGGCGAAACCTCAGCGTCGATCTGACGTGTTTTTTCACCACAAGCGGTTCTGCCCAACTGCGGGCAGGTCAAAAGAGGCTAAGCCCTCCATCCACCCTAGCGTCGGGAGGGCTTGTAGCAGAAAGCGGCGTCGGGAAGGGAGGTAGGATACTATAGCAGCAGTGATCTCCAACACGGCCATCTTACTGTCTTCCCCTCGCCGGCCTTCCTGCACTTCGCCCGCCCACGCGGTGGGCGAGCGCGCGGAAAGAAAAAAATCACCCACACACACACACACGCACACACACACACGGACCTCCACCAGAGGCGCCAAAGAAAAGAGACCTGCTCCCGCCGAAGGCGGCAACGAGCCGCAGATGGGCTCTTCGCGGGATCTTCGCCCCAAAAGTCCTCGACGTGAGGGCGACGAGGGCTGGGGCTCAGCCGTCGGCGGGATGTTTGCCCCGCGCTGTCCTCCACCGGAGGAGAGAAGCATTCTGCGGAGACTCCGCCCCGCAACGCTCTCCACAAGAGGATGCAGTTGATAGATGGCAGCACGCGCGACGTCGAGCGTCGCGCTCGCGTCTGATCGGGGGGGCGCCGCCCCGTCTTCATCCTGCCGGCCGCCGCCGCTGGCGCGGCACCGCTCGCCCAGGGCCGCCTCGGCGCCCGTCCTTCGGGGCGCCTCGAAACGAGGGCGCCGATCGCCCCAGTGGCCCTCCTGGAAACACGAGCGGCGCACATTGTGCCCCGGCGGCTCCGAGGGGGTGCCCCCCAGGGCGAACTGGCCCGCTGCGGACGCGGAGGCGCCGCGTCTGCGCGTCTTCTTGGGTCTCTCGCTGGCTGGGCCACCTCGCTTGCCCTTGCCCTTGGGCCCCTTGCCGTTGGCCCCCCGCTTGCTCTCCACGTCGCGGCCCGCGGCGAAGTGGCTCGCCCCCGAGCCCCCTCCGCCTGCAGCGGCCGCGCCGGAAGCCGGCCCATGGCGGACTGGCACCTCGTGCCGCGCCGGGGTAGCTTCATCATCATCTTCTGCTTCTTCTTCCATGTCGGCACTGCCGCGCTCCGACGAGGCCGACGCCTCGCCGATGCTCGACCCGGCCCGGTGGCGATGCGCGATCGCCTCCGGCGCCTTTGCCCGCGTCTTCTCCCGGCGGGCCTGCTCCTGCCTCGGCTGTTCCGCGCGGTCGGAGCGGCGGGCAGCCCGGCGGCCGAGGGCCAGCATCCAGTAGGCCGCTGCTGTTGGAAACTCTTCCTGCAGGGCGACCACGAGGTTCCACCTCGAGAACTTCTAGCCGTCGCGGACCTCGTCGTTCCACCGCCCGGCAAAGTCCTCCAGAGCGCGCGGCGACGGGCGGGCCAACTGGCCTGGGCACGCCATCCGGAAGAAGTTCCCAAGCCAGAGCAGCCACTGGCTGTCGCTCAGCTCCTGGGCCGTCTTGTCGTCGAACGTGAGCCACTGGTCGTCCACCTCCAGGACCTGCTCTTCGTCCGCCACATCTTCCCCCGCCGCGCCGTCGCCACCGCGCTCCCGGTACGCCTGGCACGCGGGCACCGACCCTGGACCGAACTTGCCTGGGTCATCATCGCCGCGTTATCCGTCAGGAAGGCCAGCAGCTTCTCAGGAACATGTTCGTACTCAGCCGCCTCTTCCGCCCCTGGGTCGTCCTCGGAGTCCATCTCCTCGTCGTGCTCTGCGTCTTCGGGCCACTCGCCGTCGTCAGCGGCCTCGTTGGGGTCGTCCTCCTGGCCGCCGCGCGCCGCGTGCACGGCGCAACCCTCGCCACGGCCAGTGGCCCGTCTTGGCCTTCGACGGTCCCGGCTCAGGTATTCTCGGTGGGCTCCGCCGCCGCCTCCCGCGCTCGACGGCAGGGTCGATGTCCTCCGTGGCATCGGCGCGCGGGGCAGGCGCGCCTTGGCGTAGCCCTCTAACTTCTCGCAGACCAGCTCGTTGCCAGCGCCCGTGTGATCTGGCTCCCCTCGTCGCCTGCCACTCGCAACTTCTTCAAGAAGTAGTGCGCCTTCAGGTGCTTGTTCAGAGGCTCGTCCATGGCCTCCTCCAGCGCACGGAACTTCGTCTCGTAGCGCGTCTCGAAGTCCAGCACCTCCTCACCGACGTTGTGCGCGAGCTTCTCCACGAACTCGCCCACCAGCGTGCCGACCTTCAGCGTTTCTTGCTGGTCGTACTTGCTGTGCAGGTATCGCGGGAGCACCTGAACGCCGTCAGGCATGGCGAAGGCTTCGGGGTCGAGGTTCTCCGTCTTGGCCTCGGACTCCTCCTTGAGCCTGGAGAGCAGCCGGCCGCCCCGCCGCCGAGGCGGGATCACAGTGCTCAGCTCAAAAATCTTCACCCGGCGATCGTAGGTGCGGAATGGCACCGACTTGCCATCCCACTCGGGGACTTACTTTTCGTCTCCCCTGTCGCGCCTTTCGCCGTCTCCGGCGGCTCCGCCGACGGCTCGCCAGCCGTCCCAGCTCCAGGTCCCCGACCTCTCGCAGGACGTCCGATCCCGACCTGGACCGGTTCCGGCCTCCGCCGTCCACCCGCGCCAGGCGGGCGCCACGTCAGGCTCCGGCCTGAGGAGGCCCCAGCGCCCCTGCTCCTCGGACCAGATACTTCCCCACTCGCGCCGCAAAGGGAGTCCGTGAGTGTCCCAATCACTCCACGAGTCCCATCCGCCGCAGTAGCGCCACGCCTCGGCCACAGGGGCCTCCCGCACCGCGGGTGGCTCCTCCGGCACGCGCCGCGCTGGCTTCGTGCCGCGACCGGCC